GTATTTTAGAAAGACCAGTCAAGTAGTATTGTAAGGAGGGAGAACCAGCTAGGAAGTTGCAGTGGTCCACACAAGAGATAGCTGCCTGAATTAAAGCTTTGGCAGTAGTTCTGGATGGAGAACAGAGAATAAATCTAGAAATATCAAGGAGATTGAATTGATTAATTTGTTGATATAGGGCTTAAGAAAAAGGAAAATTCCAGAAAATGCCCATATTTCTAGTTCATGACTAGCTGGCTAGTGGTGCTATTTATTTTATTCAAATAGATATTATCAAAGGTAAGTGGGCCAGGGAGGGTTTCATAGAGAATAAATGAGATGAGTTTTGAACACGTTGAATCTGAGAAAACTTTGAAACACAAATGTTGATGATCAATAGGCAGTTAAATATATTGATCTAAAACTTAGGACCATGGTCTGAGCAAAAGATAAAGATATGAGAATCTGCATCATGTAAGTGATAGAAGAAACCATGGAAATATGTATTATTGCCAAAAGAAACAAACATTTAAGGGCCACAATGAAAACAAAACATGTCAGGGTCAGGATTCTAAGGAACACCTACATTTAAAGGATGAGCAGAGAAAGAGGAGCCAAGAGTGGGAGGGAGAGGTAGGAAAGTTATCATCAGAGAATGCCGTCACAGAAGCTGAGAATGAAGAGATTTTCTGTGGTGTCAAAGGCTATAAAGAGGCCTAGTGAGAAAATAACTGACATGTCTGTGGAATTTGGCAACGTAGAAGTCATTGGGAACCTTGGCCAGAGCAGTTTCAGTAGTGCAGTGGGGACATAAGCCAGATTGTGGTAGGCTGAGGGAGAAGAATGAGTAGTGAGAAAGTAGAGCAAGCAAATATAGAATAATTTTCAAGGGGAGCATGTGGAGTAGGAGTGGAGTTTAAGATGGGAGGAATTTCAGCATCTTTTTATGCTAGGGGAAAAGAGCTAATAGAAAGGAAAAGGATGTACTGATGGAGTAAGGTCTTTGATAGGCAGCAGGTGGACGGGGGTCTAAAGCATAGATGGGTGGTGGGCCCTTTCCACTGAGACAAAAGGAAAGACAAAGTACTGATAGAACTGGGTCTGTAGGCAGGAGGAGGAACCAGTCCCTTAGCTGATGGTCTGATTTTCTTGGTGAAATCAGAAGTAGAGTCACCTGCTGAGAGTAGGACATGCTGAGAGTAGGAGTGGTGGTAGAGAGTGGAGAGAGAAGAGAACTTTAATAGTGCTTTAGAGGAATGGAAGGGGGATATGATGAGAAATTGCTAGGCTGCCTCAAGAGCCCAGCTGAGGCTGGATGCAAGGAGTTTGTAGCAGCACTTGTCAACATGCTGGTAAGAGTTCCCTCAGCAGCACTAATTACTCTCAAATTTAGAAGATGAGAATTGTATAGGTAGATTGTGACAGAGTGGGAGATACTACACACAGCAGACATGGTAAACAAAGAAATCAAGAGAACTAAAAGTTATGGCAAAAAGGCTAAAAGTAATGTCAAGGAAAAAGACCATGAAACTGGATGAGAAAGGAAGATTTCAGAGCACAACAAAAATACTCTAGTTGGTCAAAGTCTAGTCACCAATCACAATAGCTATGGTGACACTAAGAGGAACTATAGTGCTGTGGGTAAGAACAAGGGAGTTAATTTCAGGAAGACTGTTCAAATTATGGTTCTGCCATTTATTAAATTTAACCTTGTGAAAATTACTTCTAAGTAAACTTGAATTTCTGTACATGATAAATGCCCAACAAATGTTTATAGTAAAGTAATATTTCAAGAAGTAGGAAGGTGTGATATGACACATTATTAGAGATGCCATTCTGGCACAAAGAAACAAAATCAAGAATACATTTTCAATCAAGGCTAATAATACAGTTTTGATCAGAACAGTTTGCTTTATTGTATGATATTCCAGGTACTATGGCTGCATTGGAAACCCTGGAGGTGTAGTGGTTAAGTGCTACAGCTGCTAACCAAAAGATCAGCAGTTCAAATCCACCAGGTGCTCCTTGGGAACTCTATGGGGAAGTTCTACTCTGCACTATAGGGTTGCTATGAGTCGGAATTGACTTGATGGCAATGGGTTTGGGTGTTTTTTGGGGTGGGGGGGGGTGTTATGGCTGCATTACAAATTATACCAGAACATGGTGACATAACACAATTGGTTATTATGCTCACAGATTCTGGAGGTCAGCAATTTGGACATCTGTTCCACAGTGTTTTGGGCTGAGTTCTCTAGAGAAGCACAACCAATGAAGCATGTACATATATATATATAGAGAGAGAGAGAGAGAGAGAAAGATTTATCTCAAGAAAATGGCTGGCAATCGTAGACGCTAGCAAGTCTCAAGTCCGTGGGTCAGGCGTCAGGCTGGAGGCTTCTCCTGACTCACGTAGCTGCAGGGGCTGATGAACCCAAGAACCACAAGTCCCAAGAACTAGAGGTCAGATGCTGACAAGCCAAATGCAGGATCCAGAGCAGAGCAAAAGCCAGAGAGCTTTGCCAGAAAGTCCACCTATATTGGATGCAGGCCACATCCCCAAGGACACTCCCTTTCAACTGATTGGCTACTCATAGCAGATCTCATCATGGAGGTGATTACATTATATCAGATCTCATCATGGAGGTGATTACATTATTTCAGATCTCATCATGGAGGTGATTACATTATATGACTGCCAGACCACTAAGAATCATGGCCCAGCCAAGTTGACACACAGCCTTAATGATCACAGGCGCATAAACTGGAAGACTTGAGAACTAGGGGCTGGAATCATCTGAAGGGTCACTCACTCACGTGTCTAGTGATTGATACTGGCTGCTGAGAGACTTTAGCTGAGACTTTTGGCTACACCTCATGTGGCCTCTCCTTGTGCCCTGGGCTTCCTTATAGCATGTTAAAAGAGAGAGAAAGAGCCAGCCAAGCTGAAATTATATTGCCCTTTATGATCTAGATTTGGAAGTCATACAGCATCACATCTGCCATGAATAGTAGCAGAGTCCCACAAGATTCAAGAGAACGAGAAATACACCATATTTTGATGGGGAATGGCATGGTTCTAGAACAGCATGTGGGATTGGAAATATTGCTGTGATTATTTTTGGAAAATATTAATCTGTCACACTTTTTAAAAAAAAATTAATATATGTATTGTAAAAACAATTTTATTGATGTATAATTTACATACAATATAATGCACCTGTTTTAAGTTTGTAGCTCAGTGAGTTTTATCAAATATACACCTCTGTGTAACCAACACTGTAATTAAAATACAGAACATTTCCATCATCCCAGAAAGTCCCATAGTGCTCCTTTGTGGTCCTTTTGCCCAACTCTCTAACCTAGGCCAACTGTCAGAAAGATTTTCTCTTTTGTTTTTTCTAAAAGTTTAATAATTTTAAGTTTTACATTTAGGTCTATAATTCATTTTGAGTTAATTTTTGTAGTTGGTGCGAAGGAAGTATGGATACAGGTTCATTTTTTTGCATATAAATATCCAATTACCCTAGGACCATTTATTGTAAAGTCTCCTTTCTCCATTGAATTCTCCTTGTAACTTAGTTGAAAATCCAAAACCAAACTCCATTGCCCTCAAGTCAATTCTGACTAATAGTGACCCTACAGGACAGAGTAGAACTGCCCCATAGGGTTTCCAAGGAGCGACTGGTGGATTCAAACTGCCGACCTTTTGGTTAGCAGTCGTAGTTGTTAATCACTGAATTGTCTGTATATGTATGGGTTTGTTTCAAAACTCTCTATTCTGTCCCATTGACCTATTTGTCTATCTTTATGTCAATACCACACTGTCTTGATTACTATAGTTTTATAAGTCTTGAATTCAGGTAGTGTTAGTGCTCCAACTTTTATTCACTTTATCAGAATTGTTTATGCTTTGCTTTTGCATTTCCATATAAATTTTAAAATTAGTCAATTTCTGCAAAAAAGCCTTCCGGGATTTTGATTGGGATTACATTGAATACAGGCAGTCCTTGCTTTTACATGGTATTGTGTTAACTGCAACATGTTTATATTGGAACCAAGGCCTTGCTTTGCATAGCTCCAATATACACGTTTTATTTAATACAGTATTATGCAAAGCAAGGGCTGCCTGTATATATAATAATTTTGGAGAACTGACATATTAACAAATTGAATCTTCTAGACCTATCAACCAGATGTCTCTCCTTTGTGTTTTATTTCAACTTCTAATTTTTTGCTGCCAGAATACATAAGTACAATTGATTATATGTATCAGTCTTATATTTTGCAGTCTTGCTAAACTCACTTGGTAGTTCCAGTAGCGTTTTTGTAGATTCCGTCTGATTTTCTACATAGATGATTATGTCAATTATATCATCTCAAGTAAAGCAGCATTACTTCTTCCTTTCCAATCTGGATTCCTGTTGGTTGATTTTCTTGCCTTATTGCACTGGCTAGAACCATGACTTCTAATGTTGAATAGAAGTCATGAGAGTAGACATTGTTGTCTTGTTCCTGATCTGAGAGGGAAAGTATTTGATCTTTTACCATTAAGTATTATGTTAACTAGGTTTTTTGTTAGATGACCTTTTTCAGGTTTTAGAAGTTCCCTTCTATTCCTAGTTTTCCTGCATTTATTAAGATGATCATGTGGATTTTTCTTTTTAGTTTATTAACATTATGAATTATATTGATGGATTTTATAATGATAAACCAACCTGTATTCGTACAGTAAATTCTACTTGGTCGTGATGTATTCTTCTTTCTTTCTTTTCTTAAAAAAATGTGGGAACCAAATGGTCGACGATTACTTTAAAACAAAGATGAGAATGTAAAGGAGCAGGGAAACTAGATTAATGGGAAACAGAACAACTAAAATGGAAATAATGAGAATGTTCACACAATGTGAAAATATAACCAATGTCACTGAATAGCTTGGAATAACTTGTGTAGAAATTGTTGGATGGGAACCTAAACTGCTGTATAAACCTTCACCAAAAACACAATAAAATATTATATAATATATGTATATAGGACACTTCATGAATTTGCATTCCATTCTTGCACAGAGGCCATAATAATCTTTTCTGTATGGTCAGAGTTTAGTACATGTGCTGCCAAAGTGAGCATGTATTAAAATTTTTCTATATTTTGAGATTTGTTTTGCTGAAACTTTGTTTAGAATTTTTGCATCTATTTTCATGAGGGATATTAGTCTGCAATTTTCTTTTGTCGTAATGTCTTTATTTGGTTTTGGTATGAGGGCTGGCTCATAGAGTAATTTGGGAAGTATTCGTTCCTTGTCAAATTTTTGGGAAGGCTTTGTGTAGAATCGGAATTATTTTTTCATTATATGTTTGGTAGAATTCAGTAGTGAAGCTATCTGGGTCTGGAGTTTACTTTAAGAGATGGTTTTTAACTGTATATTTACATACAAATGCATACACACACATACTTCCCTCTTTCTTGAATAAAAGGTGGCATATTCTACATATTATTCTGCATCTTCTTTTTCACTTAATAATATATATTCTGGAATTCATTCCATTACAGGATACAGAGATTGTCCTTGTTTGTTGTTATAGCTGTATGGTATTCCATTGGATTCATGTTCTTCAAAAATCTCACTTATTAAACATTTATTTTCTACTATGTGTGCCATCTATCAGGTGCAGTGCATGACATTGTAGGGAAAACAAAGATGTGTAATACATAGTCCTCACCCACAGGAAACTTTAAATATCCCTGATACACAGTAGTTGACCCAGTAATACTTTTTTACCCATCTCCTTTTTAGAAAGAGAAAGCACTGACTAGAAAGGTTTTTGTCATCCACTATTTCTACTATATTTAATGTCGTTTCAGTAGTATTGGTAAGCATCCTAGATAGAAAATGCATCCTGACATTTAAAATATTATTTAGCTATCTGATCATAAAGTATGTGACAGAGAAGTACGTCATATCAAGATACATTGGTAGTTACTGGTGATTGGAATGCAAAAATTGGAAACAAAGAAGAAGGATCAGCAGTTGGAAAATATGGCCTTGGTGATACGACACTAAAGATCACATAATAGAATTTTGCAAGACCAATGACTTCTTCATTGCAAACACCATTTTTCAACAACATAAACGGCGACTATACATGTGGACCTCGCCAGATGGAATACACAGGAATCAAATTGACTACATCTGTGGAAAGAGACAATGGAGAAGCTCAGTATCATCAATCAGAACAAGGCCAGAAGCCAACCGCAGAACAGACCATCAGTTGCTCTTAGGCAGGTTCAAGTTAAAGCTGAAGAAAATTAAAGCAAATCCACGAGAGCCAAAATACGACCTTGAGTGCATCCCACCTGAATTGAGAGACAATCTCAAGAATAGATATGATGCATTGAACACTAATGACTGCAGACCAGATGAGTTGTGAAATGACATCAAGGACATCATTCATTAAGAAAGCAAAAGGTCATTAAAAAGACAGGAAAGAAAGAAAAAACCAAAATGGATATCAGAAGAGACTCTGAAACTTGCCTTGAACGTACACCAGATAAAGTGGATGGAAGGAATGATGCAGTAAAAGAGCTGACAGAAGGGTGGCTTTCAAAGGGTAGCTCAGGAAGACAAAGTAAAGTATTATAATAAAATGTGCAAGGAACTGGAGTTAGAAAACCAAAAGAGAAGAACACACTCAGCATTTCTCAAACTGAAGAACTAAAGAAATAATTCAAGCCTCGTGTTGCGGTATTGAAGGATTCTACGGGGAAAATATTAAATGATGCAGGAAGCTTCAAAAGAAGATTGAAGGAATACACAGAGTCACTGTACCAAAAATAATTGGTCGATGTTCAGCCATTTCAGGAGGTAGCATATGATCAAGAACTGATGGTACTGAAGGAAGAAGTCCAAGCTGCACTGAAGGGAATAGTGAAAAACAAGGCTCCAGAAATTGACAGAATGCCAATTGAGATGTTTCAACAAATGGATGCAGCGCTGGAGGTGCTCACTCATCTATGTCAAGAAATTTGGAAGATAGCTTCCTGGCCAACGGATTGGAAGAGATCCATATTTTTGCCCATTCCAAAGAAAGGTGATCCAACCGAATGCGGAAATTATCGAATAATATCATTAATATCACACACAAGTAAAATTTTGCTGAAGATCAGTTAAAAGTGGTTGCAGCAGTACATTGACAGGGAACTGCCAGAAGTTCAAGCGGATTCAGAAGAGGACATGGAATGAAGGATAGCATTGCTGATGTCAGATGGATCCTGGCTGAAAGCAGAAAATACCAGAAAGATGTTTACCTGTGTTTTATGGGCTATGCAAAGGCATTTGACTGTGTGGATCATAACAAATTATGGATAATACTGCAAAGAGTGGGAATTCCGAACACTTAATTGTGTTCATGAGGAACCTGTACATAGACCAAGAGGCAGTCATTCAGACAGAACAAGAGGATACTGCGTGGTTTAAAGTCAGGAAAGGTGTGCGTCAGGGTTGTACCCTTTCACCATACTTATTCAGTCTGTATGCTAAGCAAATATCCAAGAAGTTAGACTATATGAAGAACGCAGCATCAGGATTGAAAGAAGACTCATTAACAACTTGCAATGTGTAGATGACACAACCTTGCTTGATGAAAATGAAGAGGACTTGAAGCACTTACTGATGAAGATCAAAGACCACAGCCTTCAGTATGGATTGCACCTCAACATTAAGAAAACAAAAATCGTCACAACTGGACCAATAAGCAACATCATGATAAATGGAGAAAAGATTGATATCAAGGATTTCATTTTACTTGAATCCACAGTCAACTCCCATGGAAGCAGCAGTCAAGAAATCAAGATGATGTGTTGTGTTGAGCAAATCTGCTGCAGAAGACCTGTTTATTGAAAAAGCAAGGACTAAGGTACACCTGACCCAAGCCATGGTATTTTCAGTTGCGTCATATGCATGCGAAACCTGGACAATGAATAAGGAAGACCAAAGAAGAATTGATGCCTTTGAGTTCTGATGCTGGCGAAGAATATCGAATGTATCATGGACTACCAGAAGAATGAACAAATCTGTCTTGGAAGAAGTACAGCCAGAATGGTCCTTAGAAGCAAGGATGGCGAGACTCTGTCTCACGTACTTTGGATGTGTTATCAGGAGGGACCAGTCCCTGGAAAAGGACATCATGCTTGGTAAAGTAGAGGGTCATCAAAAAAGACAAAGACCTTCAACGAGATGGGTTAACACAGTGGCTGCAACAATGGGCTCAAGAATAGCAAAGATTGTGAGGGTGGTGCAGGACCGGGAAGTGTTTCATTCTGTTGTGCATAGGGTGGCTATGAGTTGGAACCGACTCCGTGGCACCTAACAACAACAAAGTCAGAATGTGCCAGTTAGTCTGAGTCACTGTAATTATACTGTCCTTTTAAAACTCAGCACACCTTTAATCCCCCCGTGTATTACTCCTTGGAGCCCTGGTGGCATAGTGGTTAAGAGCTACAGCTGCTTACCAAAAGGTCGGCAGTTTGAATCCACCAGTCACTCCTTGGAAGCCCTATGGGGCAGTTCTACTCTATCCTGTAGGGTCGCTGTGAGTCGGAATTGACTCGACGGCAATGTGTATATTACTCCTATGTTAATCTCCCTATATTATCCCCATATTACTCCTAAGGAGCACTGATGGTGCAGTGGTTAAGGGCTTGGCTGCTAACTGAAAGATTAGTGGCTGAAACCCACCAGCCGCTGTGCAGGAGAAAGATGTGGCAGTCTGCTTCCATAAAGATTACAGCCTTGGAAACCCTATGGGGCAGTTCTGCTCTGTCCTATAGGTTCACTGTGAGTCAGAATCAACTTGACAGCAAGAGATTTTTTTGTTTTTGTTTTTCACTTGTACCATTTTCTTTGTACTGGTTTCCTATTCTACACCTCACATCTCTTCATTCTTTTCCAGTATTACTTATTTCTTTCACAGCCTGACCTCATAAAGTCCTGAATTCTCTCCTTTGAAGACTTTAATGTGGTGGGCAGGGGGGAGTATCAGGCCAACTTTTGAAAGATGCCTGCCTTATGGTATTTTGTCCCAAGGAGTGGGCCTGTCTATGCTAGGCAGTGTCCTTCCTATCTGTTTGTTGGCTCCTGGGGACACTGTCTTCAGTTTCTCTGAGTCCTGAGTCTGACTTTGCAACTTCGAATTTGGTATCTCTCCTCACAGTAATCTTGGTTACAACTTGGGTTTTACTTTTCTTTGCCTGTATACCTCCAGTAGAGGCCTCTCCATGCTATTGTTTTGCTACACCCAGCTCTTCAGTACTGGACCTGTAAACCTACTACCTCCTCAGATCTATATAAGAGTCCCTTTTCCTGTTCTCTGCCCTCTTTCCCCATTTGCCCTCTCTGTTTCCTAATCTGTTTTCACTGTATATTGTTTGACTCAAGAGTAACCTTTGTCCCTAAATCCACATATATAAAGCTAGGAAAAGTCTATCTAGTCTTCCTGGAGAAGGAAACTTCTTAAAGTCTTTGTATGCTTCCTCATACATTGTAGGTTGCAGAGATTAAATGGCTGAAAGCTGTAAAGGAACATGTTTCAAGAATTTCATATGTTTTCATTACATAAATGTAGATTTGGAAATCCAGCAACTACCACAGTAATTAAAGCATTTCCTGCTGTGAATGCTTCTGAGAAAATAAATACTATGCAAGAAGTAGGCTCACAAAAACTTTTTTAATTCACAAAGTTGATTCCATGATCATGAAGTCAGCATTTTCTCTCAGCAGGCATCGCAACTAATGGCATTAATGAGACTCGTGCCATATTTTTTTTTTAAAAAAAAGAGGGAACAAAAGTGAGAAAAACTAAGAATTTTAAAAGGGAGTTAATTCCAGTGGTCTGTTTGAACATTGTAATTAACCAAAAAAATAAAACAAGAAAAAAACATTTTTAATTGTGGTTTTTAGTAGTCCATTAACAGTGGATCAAACTACGTATAAGTTGGGATAGTTATAAAATGAGTGCTTATGTTAAAGTGGTAGAGCCATCAGTGTACAGTACAAAGCCTTGTATGTATTTCAAAGTAAGCAAGACCTGAATAAAAATTACATTTTGGATAATGCTTTTTAAATTTCTGTT